GGCTCTGTGCCCGTTGGGCTAATGTGGGAGGAGAGAGATGTTTCCTCGTATTCACGCTTTACATTCCTTTTGGCACTATAGATTTGTGTTTTTCTCTTAACCTTAGGATTGATATGCGAATGGGTTCAACTCTGGGAGTACTTTTCTTTTTCTTTTTTTTTTTTAATTAAAAAGAAAGGGCCCTGTTTTGTAGGGTACATAAACTGAGGGTAAGTGTATTTTTTGCATATTCCAGATTTGTTTGTGAAGGTCAGAGTAACTGGATCTAAGTGAAGGAATTCAGTAGACTGATGCGCCTGGCCACCTGGTTCATTTTCTGAACTCTGGATTGTGCCCTAGGTTTGTTAGTTTCCAGCTTCCTGTTTAGTAATTGCCCCCAGTATGAGTGATTTAAATATGTTATCACCAAACTTGTGAGGATTGTAGGGAGAGGTATGAAGAACCTGGTGAGTGACAGTAGGACTGGCATTGTGGAAAGTAATATTACCATTTTTGTGAAACACAAAAGTTGAACTTGAACCTTGTTTCATAACTAGAATCTAACTAGGTACCTAACGTATAGGTAGATATCAAGTCTCTCTGGACAGTTGTAGTACCCTTCCTTATAGAATTCTGTTACCAGGCTTAGGTTTATTTTTTGTTGCCTTTAGGATCATAGGTTCTTGTAACCTTTCAGACAAAGAAAAATTGTCAAGGGGGAGATTACTAAATGTACTCTTCTGACTTGTGGAAATTTGGGCAAGATTATACACTTCTGCGAAGATGTTTAGAGGTATAAATTGATGTTAATAAAGCTGATTCAGAGTTGTATTAAGATTAAAACTAGGGCCGGCCCTGTGGCTCACTCGGGAGAGTGCGGCGCTGGCAGCGCCAAGGCCGCGGGTTCGGATCCTATATAGGGATGGCCGGTGTGCTCACGACACCGAGCCGAGATTAAACCTATTGGAAAGTTGTGAAAATTTAAAGGTCATAAGTCATTTTGTGATGGAATCTTCTAGCTGTATACCAAGTGCATAGAATTAATTTTTCTGTTAGGCTCCTACAACACGTTCATCTCTTTCACTTAGTTAACGAGCATCTATTGAGTGCCTTTTATAACCCTATCACATGCTGGAAATCAGTATAGCAGAGTGAGTAACTATTGGTTCTCTGAAATGTGGTAGAGATTGAATTCCTGCCGCCTTCACTAACTCGTCGACATTAGGCATATTACCTAAACTCTCTGAGCCTCAATTTCCTCATCTGAAATGAGGTTAATATAGCCACCTCATAGGTTTTTGTGGGATTTATGTAATACGTGTCAACACCTTCGAACAGTGCCTGGTGTGCAGAAAGTGTTCACTAAATGTTAGCCACCACTATTACTTTTTTTTAAAAAAACAGCTCGATTGAGATACAGCTCTCATACCATACAATTTGCCCATTTAAGGTGTATAATTCAATAGTTTTTGGTACATTACGCTATTCATTTTTTAAAAATTGTAAATATATTATGTATGTTGTAACAAAATTTGCCTTTAAAACCATTTTTTTTTTCCTTTTTGTCTTTTTTCGTGTCCAGCAACGGATCGCAACCCTCAGTGTTGCGCCCGTACCGGACTGGGACCGGCAACGGGATCGCAACCCTCGGTGTTGCTCCCACACCTCACTCAGCCAGTGAGCGGGAACCGGTCTGTATGTGGGATCCGAACCCTCGGCGGGAGCGCCACCGCGCTCCCAAGCGGCGCACTGTAGCAGTGCGCCACCGGGCCAGCCCTAAAACCATTTTTAAGTGTACAATTCAGTGGCATTATATTCACAGTGTAGTGCAGCTAATACTGCTATTTACAAAACTTTTCATCACCCCAAATAGAAACTCTGTAACCATTAAGCAGGTAACTCCCTATTTCCCTCTCCCTTTAGCCCCTGGTAAAATTGTAAATATATTTATGTATGTTGTAACAAAATTTACCATTAAAATCTTTTTTTTTTTTTTTTTTGTCTTTTGTCTTTTTCCGTGTCCGGCAACGGATCGCAACCCTCAGTGTTGCCCCCGTACCGGACCGGGGACCGGCAACGGGATTGCAACCCTCGGTGTTGCTCCTGCGCCTCGCTCAGCCAGTGAGCGGGAACCGGTCTGTATGTGGGATCCGAACCCTCGGGCGGGAGCGCCGCCGCGCTTCCCAGGCGGCGCACTATCCAGTGCGCCACCGGGCCGGCCCCCATTAAAATCATTTTTAAGTGTACAATTCAATGGCATTAATTATATTCACAGTGTAGTGCAGCTAATACTGTTATTTACAAAACTTTTCATTACCCCGATAGCAACTCTGTAACCGTTAAGCAAGTAACTCCCTCTTTCCCTCTCCCTTAAGCCCCTGGTAACCTCTAATCTACTTTGTGTCTCTGTGAATTTGCCTGTTCTAGGTACCACATATAAATGTGATCATATAATTTTTTTTTTTTTTTAAAGATGACTGGTAAGGGGATCTTAACCCTTGGTGTTATCAACACCACACTTCCCCAAGTGAGCCGTGGGCCGGCCCTGGAATTATACAACTTTTGACCTTTTTGTGTGTCTGGCTTATTTCACTTAGCGTAATGGTTTCGAGGTTCATTTTTTTTTTTTTTTTTTTAAAAGATGACCGGTAAGGGGATCTTAACCCTTGACTTGGTGTTGTCAGCACCATGCTCAGCCAGTGAGCGAACCGGCCATCCCTATGTGGGATCCGAACCCGGGGCCTTGGTGTTATCAGCACCGCACTCTCCCGAGTGAGCCACGGGCCGGCCCTCGAGGTTCATTTTGTAGCATGTATCAGAACTTCATTCCTTTTTTTATGGCTGAATGATATTTCATTGCGTATGTATATAGACCACAGTTTGTTTATCTGTTCATCTGTAGTAGACATATGGGTTGTTTTTTACCTTTTGGCTATTGTGAATAATGCTGCCATGAACATTAGTGTGTAAATATCTCATTGAGTCCCTGCTTTCAGTTCCCTTGGGTGTATACCCAAGAGTGGAATTGCTGTGTGGTAATTCTATGTTTAGCTTTTTGAAGAACCACCATACTATTTTCCTCAGTGGCTACACCATTTTACATTCCCATCAGTAATGCACAAAGGTTCCAATTTTTCCATATCCTCACCAACACTTTTTTGTTGTTGTTGTTCTTTTGTGGTTTTTTTTGTTTGTTTGGGTAATAGCCATCCTAATGAGTGTGAAGTGGTATCTCATTGTGTTTTCTTGATTTTGTTTTTTTGTTTGTATCATTTTAACCATTTTAAGTGTATCATTGGGCCGGCCGTGGCTCACTCGGTAGAGTGCGGTGCTGATAACACCAAGGCCACGGGTTCGGATCCTTAAAAAAAAAAAGTGTATCATTCAGTGGTATTAAGTACATTCACATTGTTGTGCAACCATCATCACCATACAGCTGCAGAACTTTGTTCATCTTCCTAAACTGAAACTCTATACCCATTAAATAATAACCCCCCATTCTCTCCTCCAGCCCCTGAGAACCACCATTCTACTTTTTGTCTGTATGAATTTGACTATTCTAGGTACTTTATATAGGTGGAATAATATAATATTTGTCCTTTTGTGTCTGGCTTATTTTAGTTAGTGTAATATATTCAGAGTTCATCCATGTTGTAGCATGTATCAGAATTTTATTCCTTTTTGGGCCGGCCCGTTGCTCACTGGGGAGAGAGCGGTGCTGATAACACCAAGGCCATGGGTTCGGATCCCTATATAGGGATGGCTGGTTAGCTCACTTGGGAGAGCGTGGTGCTGACAACACCAAGCCAAGGGTTAAGATCCCCTTACCGGTCATCTTTAAAAAAATAAATAAAAATTTTATTCCTTTTTAAGGCTGAA